AGATGAGAAGGCAAATGAGAGGTGTGTTTAAATCCTAAACATTAGGCCTTCTTTTATAGGGGGTCAAATCCCCCCAAAATTCAAGAGCCCACCGATGTGGGACAAATTTGCCAAACTTCAACACCTTCAGTTGTTGATTAATCGTTAAACCAAGTAACATCAGAGATGAAATGGCAGCTTGGCTCCCTTGATGTTGCTTTGTTCTTCTAGCTTCTTCATCGTAAAAAATTGATTGTGAGCTATGACATATTGAAACTTCTTCAGTTGGCAGTAAGTTTAGGAATCATTTTTGTAGTCAGATAAAACCATGATTGTTGATTGTGGCCTGCTGGAATAGTAGCACATTAATTGATTGAAACTTCTTCAGTTGGCACATATCCTTTTCTTTTGTTTTCAGTTTGGTTTTTATGAATTGTTGAGAAGGGAAAGCTGTTGAGTTATTTAAGTTACTATGAGAAGGGACTTTCTATTAGGCCTTTCTGCTCTGGTTACGTTTCGCCAATGGAAAGCAAAAAACGACATAATTATTGGACTTTCTATATTGAGTAATATGGAAATTTTGGACGTGAACGGTTAGAGCAAACTGTAAATGCACTGTAAAATGTATGAGAAACGGGGGAGATTCTGAGGAGAGAACGTTGAATGACATTGAGATGAGAAAGCAAAGCTTCAGTGGTCTCTTATTTTCTTTCCTCAAATTGGCTAGTGAAAGTTGTGCGGGCATTCTTTGGAAGTTGGACCTATTCAATTCAGCTCCAGATTTAGGACGGGTTCAACTGAATTTATTGTTTTTGGCGCAAACTTTGATAGCTGAAGATGGTGTTAGAGATTATAGAATGTTGCCTATATTGTGTTTCTTACTTCTTGTAATGCACAATATATGGAAGCAATACTTATTTGTAAGTTTCTATCCACTAACACTATAAAGAAGTTTTTACATTAATAGGTTGCCTAAATGTTAATTATAAACAGTTGTCCATACAATAGCAATTATGCCTCAGTCCCAGAGACTCCGCCGTCTCATAGATTAAACCATCATTATGATGGTCGTGACAAAGAGATTCTTGCTGATGAAAATTGGATATTGTCTTGCTCCATTCGACGTTTTAAAGTAGACAATTTGAAAATATTAAGAATCAGCGCTTCTCTCCTCCCTCTCTGTGCTAACCATCTTCAGTTGTCCTAATCTCCAATCTCTTCCATTCTTTCACTATCTATTCTCAGTTTCCCAATGCTTCAACCAAGTCTAGATTTGAGAAGAGGGATTACTGACCAAATATTGCTCAAATTCCCACTTTAAGAGTTGACATCGAATATCTGCGATGATTAAAGTGAATGATGCTCTCATAGATGTAAGTTATTTGCTCCTACTTTTTGTTACTTCTATTTGTTTATTTTTTTCATTCTTTTTGTTTGTTAAATCATGTTGAGCAGTGTGTAGAGTCTACTGCGCTATGATGCCGATATGCAGCAGTACAACACAGAAGGCATATCATTTACGAACAGTTATCTACTATAACTAGGGAGATTAAAAATAAAATGCCTAAACAAAATATCAACTGCAAACAATCTTTTATTTATTTATTGAAGGAAAAGTAATCATAGAATAAGACTTTTGAGAATAACAATCTCCTCAATCATATCCATCCCCATATTTGTAACTTTACACACAAGGATTCCCAACAACTATCTGAAAACCGATAATAGGCATGTCTCCATGATCTCTTGAAAAGCAAACAAGAACATACTCCCCAAAAGCTAAGACCAAATCCTATTGACATTGCAATGTAGAACCAATCCGGTTCATCTTCATTACTCTCATCATTTTCAGTATCAACATTAGGATTTTGACCACCTGAGTTGCAGTTCGTCAAGAGTGGAAGCCCGCAAAGCTCATTTCCCTGGAAACTCGAGGAATTAAAGCTTTGAAGTTGAGTGCCCACTGGTATTTTTCCTGACAAATTGTTATAAGATAGATTCAGGAAGCTCAAAGTTGACAAACTCGATAAGCTTTGCGGGATTTGATCGGAAAGTTGATTTTCTGAAAGATCAAGGGATTCAAGCACTTTCATGTCGCCAATGCCATTTGGGATCCTACCTGTCAGTTGGTTTTTTGAGAAATTACAGATTCTCAATCCTACAAGACTGGTAAAACTTATGGGAATATCTCCAGAAAGATTATTGTTAGACATATCCATACTTGTAACCAATGCTAATATTTTATCATACTGGTAACTATTGCCTTTAGTTGTCACCATTGCGCTTTCTGTCAAAAGTTCTCCAAATCTATCAGCATAATACTCAATATCAGCTTCCCCCAACTTATTTCCGGTGACCATTGCTGTTAAATTGCTAATACACCTTGGTATAATTCCAAAGAAACTATTGTTTGCAAGGTCTAAGATCTGAATATGTTTGAGGTAACAAATTTCTGGAGGCAATTCACCATAGAATCTGTTTGAGCTAAGGCTGAGGATTATCAAATCTGAAAACTTCATTCCTAACCATGGTGGTAGTTGTCCAACGAATTCGTTCTCAGCTAAATCAATTTTCAGCAACCCTGTACAGTTTGCCAATGATGAAGGTAATGGACCCGTAAGTCTATTTCTTCGGAAGTCCAAAGAAACCAAATTACTTAAAACCTCCATGGATTTTGGTATGCCTCCAATCAATTTATTGTCCCTCAAGTTTAAAACTATCAACTTTGGCCAATTCATCCAACAATCAGGAATTTCTCCTGACAAATCATTTTCCTCGAGATATAAGAACATCAATCCGTAGGATCTGTTCTTATTTGTTTCACACAAGGAGTGAGATAAACCTCCTGAAAATGAATTGTTCGAGAGGTCTAGAATAAATACATTGGGTGAAACCTCAGGTAGCGGACCACTGAAATTGTTGGAACCCAAGGACCAAAACCAAGAAAGTGATGAAATTATTGGAACCTCACCAACAAATTGGTTGTGAGAAAGATCGAGATACCCAAGCTGGGAAGAAAAGTTCCAAAACCAAGTTGGAACCTCACCAATAAATTGGTTATGAGAAAGATTGAGAAACTCAAATTGGGAGTTCCAAAACCAAGTTGGAACCTCACCTTGTATTCCACCATTTGATATGTCCACACTCTTTATATTCTTTTGAGTTTGGAGCCACATGGGAAATAGAGGACCTATATTCCAGTCGCCTATTTCAATATGTATGGCTTGAAAAGGTGGAATCCACTTCTGACTCACTTTTAAAGTTAGATTAGTATGAGATGCTTGGAAATATCTTAATTGTGTCAACTTGGTGAAATGACTTTCTGTTACAACACCTTCCAACCTATTGTTACAGATGTCAATTCTTTCTAGCATTAGGAGTTGGCCAACACTTTCTGGGAGTGTTCCAGTTAGTTTGTTGTTTCTTAGTATCAATTCCGTCAAAGAAGAACTATATCTCAATCCCGCTGGAAGAAAATTACTCCTACTGTTGAACAATTCAAATACTTCACCCTCAAATAGATTTTCTGAGAGATCAAGCCAACGTAATTTCGATAACTTTCCAATTACATTTGGTAAGTTTCCAGAAAACATATTTCTAGAAAGGTTAAAATCAGTTATTGAGCTCAAATTTGAAATTGCATTTGAAACTACTCCCTCAATTTTGTTTTCACTAAGATCAAGTGACTCCAAATCTTTGCATCGATAGATCCAATTCGGGATAGTGGAGTTGAGCTTGTTGTATGCAAGATCCAGATTTCTAAGTTTTGTCACATTTCCGGCCTCACGCGGCATCGCACCAATTAAATTACTATCACTCAAATCAAGAGAAACAAGACTAGGGAGATTGAAAACCCACCTGGGAATAGAAGAACTAAAGTTATTCTTAGAAAGATCGAGTGTTTCAAGTGAAGAAAAATTATGATGAAGTAGAGGTGGTATATGTTGAAGTCTACAACTATATAAACTAAGATAAGCAAGAGAAGGAAGCATGCTAATGACCTGCAGCCAGTTAGTTACATTGCTGAGATCCACATCCTCCATCTCCAAGTTCTCAAGATTTGAAAGACTTGGCAGCCAATCAAAGTTATTGATCCTTAGATCATATCTTATAGGCTTGTTCCCAATCTGATCCACAATGCCTATGTGAAGCTCAATCACATGACGGGTCATACTGTGGCACACAACCCCTCTCCATTCACAACAATCTTTTCCAACAATCCAAGAGGAGAGATGATCTCTGGGATCATATACTTCCTTCTTCAGACTCTCCAATGCTTGTTGCTCATTTTCTCTGCAACTGCCTATACAAACACTAAACTTGGTGTTTGTCAAAATGAAAAACAAGAAAAAACAGAATGTTATTGCTAACAGCTTCATGATGTGCAAAGGTTTAGATTAGGAACTGAAAAATATGTATTAAATAGTTATTTGCTTGTAGATTGTTATTAGTCCAAGCATACGTATATATAGCATTTAGAACTATAGTTGAAGAATACATTGTCTAGAAAGATATTGACCATAAAATTCAAAGACTTGTTGATTTTAAATTATTTTGTCCTTTTAAAAACTATTCAAAAGAATATAATTGACGGACGTCAATTTCTTGCTAAGTCAAGTCTTCTCCAGAGTACAACTTTATCAAGTGTCCTTGTCTGGGGCCATTTAACACCATAGCAATTGATGAAGTGAAAACAACCTTTTGCTCCTTTTAGTGTGTGGTGATCATTTTATATATTCTTTAATATGAGGAAAAATTACCCTTTTATTAGTAATTAAATTACCCTTACTTGGAGGAAATTCTTTACTTAAATCCATGAAAATAATGATCTCTACTCTATAGAAATTAAAAAGTAAAATATTTTCAAACCATCAGATTAGACAAAAACAAATGCCTCAACTTTTGGATAAAATGTATTATAAAAAGCACTCCATCAGTGTCCAAAACTATGCCTTTGAAGTTTTCAACAAGAAGAGGACAGCTTTGGAAAAATTTGAAGTATCAAATGTGTGAAACGACTGTCACATCAAGGGCAAAAATAAATTCATCTGACCCAAAAAAGGTTTAATCGAGTAAAAAAGAGAATTATATGATATATAATGGACTATTGCCATACATCTTATCATGAAAATATTATCACATAAATTAAAACCAAGATAATATAGTAATTTTCCTTTTTCATGAAATAGTCTTCATCGAACAAGTCTTTTTACAAAGTCTTCTTTGCCCATGGTGCCCCTTTTTTTCCATGTACCAATGACTTGTTTCTATTCACTTAAACCCCTATTTTTGTCACGTCCCAAACTATCCCTAGACGTGACCGGTACGCAGCTAACACCACCCGCCAGGCGAACCATACCTTCATACCTTAGCCATTAATTTACAGCATTTTATTAACTAAATAAGTATCCAAATAATCTGATAACCATTACGAACAATTAATATCTTAAAACATTACAATGAAATTCTAACCCAAATCCCACACTAGACCAAGGAGCATCTAAGAGAATTACAAAAGACATCATATGAATAAATAATTAAGATTCTTCTCGCAGCCTCCACGAACAATGCGGCGGCTCACCTCAATAAATCAACTCTAGCAAACTCCTTAGACACTAGCTTCGTTCTCAGCAACAGTATCTGCATGGACATGCAGGTAAGGAGTGAGTTATACGTAAATATAACCCAGTAAGATCCTCGACCCGCCACTCTGAATACCTCTGGAATAAGTGTTAGAAAATACAAACACACAAAGAGCACATAAATTCTTTCACCATATAATTACTCTATAAGGTACAAACAATTACTCAACAACAACACTATATATATCTCAACACAATTTATATTAAAGGACTTGTCATTAACGGCAGTGCAAGAAATTAACCAAACACTCCAACGAGTCCACGACAATATACACAATGCCCCAAATCTACTATGGCGGCATACACAATGCCCCAAATCTATAACGGCACAATGCTCCAAATTTATAACGGCGGCATAAGCAATGCCCCAAATCTATAACGGCAGCGAAGAAATAATTTCCAACGCCCCAACACCATAGCACGAGGCTACGCCACATCACACTACACCGCGATCACTTATTAAACAATTTAAGTTTTTTTTTACAAAATAATATATATTTGCGGCTAGTCAAAGACCACTGATTTTGCCAAGCGCACGCTCGTCCCAACACATGGACCAGGCAGACAAAACATATTTTTAAAACGGGTTTTGGAAAAAGAAAGTATCAAAGCTTAAAGTCTCACTTACCTCGTTAACAGGAAGTTCCCCAACCTTGCAACGTCTATAACACCAACCAAATGGCCTCCAATGGCCTCAATCTATCCAAAATATTGAATAACATATCCTAATTAGTCTAGGTGAATAATTTCCAAAATCTTAGGACGAGTCAAAATCAAAGCCAACCTTCGGTCCAATTAATAAAAGAATTTGTATACAATTAAGTGTCTAAGAAAGCACTTTCACTGTGCACAAATTGCCGAACAACGGCTCTCAAAAGTCATCACGTTAGCTATAACATAGATTTCCTCAACCTTATCATTACTGTAAGAATATTTTATTGATAATTACTTCCTAATTAAGAGTAATAACACTAATATATTTTTCTGTAAAAGTGTCTTCAAAATTTAATATCTCATGTTTAATTGTACTAATAACTCATAGTTACCTAGTTATTTTACCTGCCAATTATTACCTGGTAACTGTAACATAAATAACAATCACCACTCCAATGTCACATACTAGTCACGTAACAGAAGTTTTCAATTTAATTGGCAGTGCTTTGTTCAACCACTGGAAAGTTAAAACTGTGCACTTTAAATTTTTTCCAATTTCCAAACATTTTAATCATTACCCTCTAATTGATATATAATGATTGTCTCCTAATTAGAGAAGCAGTAACAAGTCTGCAATGTTACTAATTTTTCCATAACAATATTTGGATTTCAATTCTTACTTCATTATTACTTGCAATCATGATATCATGATTAAATTTGTTTTCTATCAAATTCTTAAGCACATCATTGCCATAATGTTTGTCCCTCTATCAATTTACCACTGTACGAAAGAAATACGAATACACATACCGGGTGTCTTTTCTACAACGGTTCCAACGCAGTGGGGGAAATAACCACGCCGCCACCGTAAGTATTTTACCCTAATATTCTTTATTGAATGGACCATCTGGTAAAATATATACTCCAATCCCTTAATCCTAATTCTAGCTGTATAAGGTTTAGGTCCGTATTATTATTATTCCATCTCTATTATTATTATTATTATTATTATTATTATTATTATTATTATTATTATTATTATTATTATTATCTAAAATTATAAATATTGCTCACTGGTATACCTAATTATAAATTAGGTCCACTAACTATTTCTATAGTATATTATCTTTTGTATAATAAATCTTCTTTACTAGCTTAATAATTGAACCAACAGGTACCCATGAAAGTTACTTCTTAAATCTCACGATTAATTAGTACATGACTATATTTCGGGTTATTACAATTTTGGGGTAGAAGAATTTTTATTCATTGTCTCACACTTTTGATGCGCTAAACCTCAAAGATTTGGGACCAAAAACAGCTAGTGATAAGCATTGAATAAGTTTCATCGGGATGAAGTGGATTAAAAGCGCGGAATGTATTCGCACCATCACTGTCTTTCTAAGTTGTATATAGCTTCTTTTTAGATACTTCAATTGTCTAATTTATATAATTCATCATTATTAAACTTAACATGATCAGTTACGTAGAAATATCTAAACTGTAAATAATATTTAAATAGCAGCATGAAAGTATTCCCTTTCTTACAAATTTCCTCTTTCTATTTGGCTAGTAGATCCAACATGGGAAAAGGGTCTTCTAACATCAATTTTATATGAAGTTAATGACAAATATATTTATCAATTTATTATCTATTTAATTTTTATCTCTTTTCTTTTCTTTGTTAGGAAAGGACAATAATTGATGAATCTAGTATATAGTTTTCATTTCATCAATTGGAGAGGTGTACATGAACCCACACACACTCCATTATGAAGTCTTTGTCTTAGTTTTTTTCTTCTTAATTAATAATTGACAGGACATTATGAAGTCTTTCTACGAAGCCTTCTTTGTTGTTTGATCAAAGAAGTATGGTGCCATTTTCTTCACGTACTACTGACTTGTTTCTATTCGTTCAAACCCCTAGTTTCGGGCAGAAGAACTTTCCTTCATTGTTTCACGCTTTTGATACGCTAAACCTTAGTTTGCTTAGCTTTCTAGTCCACCAATATAGTCCTTCAATGGTTTTATGAAGTTAATGGTGTTTTCTTTAATCTCTTTTCTTTTCTTCGTTTGAAAGATTGTGTTTGATTTGATGAAAGAATTTTTTCATTGGAAATTGGTTGGTGAATATAAAGAGTTGTAAGAAAAATAACTTTTGTCCATAAGCGAGGGAAGTCATTGTCCCTCACTTGATGAAAATATTTCCCCGCAAAACATTTTTTTTTCTCATTGAAAATAATTTTTTAAGTAATAACTGGAGTCATACCAAACACACTCTTATGGGTCTAGCAGGGTGGCTTTCACTTCATAAACAGGGGAGGTGTACATGTGGACCCAAACATGATAAAGTTGTGGGTACCATTTGCTGGATTTTTCCGACTTCAAAAAATATTACTCCCTTTGTTATTTTTTAGTCTATTTAAAAAAGAATGATCTGATCTCTTTCTAAGTTTGAAAAAAATTTAAGTTAAATTTTCAACTCTACCTTAATGAGAAGCTTTTATATGCTTGTTTCTTTAGTTTGTCCAATGCTTTTTATATATTACAAATAACGTGTAATTAAAGACACGTTTCAAAATATTGGGATTCACTTTCCAATTTCCTGGCATCTGCATAAGTAAGAAAAGTTGACCACCATTTGAATTATCAACAAATATTTCCACAAGAGAGAAAGTCTAATTTTCTTTGATGAAAGTGACGGATGATTGTGATGGCACTCTAGCACCTCGGACTATTCATCAATTTTGCTACTTTGAGAATATTCTATTTAGTTTTCCCTTTGTGAATATCAAGATTCTTGTTTGGGACTTTGGTCCACGTAACAGCGCTCCACTTGATGAAGTGAAAACAATCTTTATCACCTTTCAAAGTTTGGTGATACCATTTTATTATTTAATTAGATGGTATTATTCACTTAAATATTAAGCAAAAAGTAGAAGAGGCGACCAAGTAAGTCTAAAATCTATAGGCAAATATACTAGGTAATTTACGAGAGTATACAAATTATTATATAATAGTGCGAAGATAAATTCTATCGGCTATCTGTTAACTTATTTAAATATATGTAATCAGTGTGAATCATTAACATCTTTCGCTTCAAAAAAAATATGACACAATTCATTAATATCTTTTTGTAATTTTAATGAATTTTTACACACAAAGTTTTTACTCCACGTCGAAAGTTATAGGTTT